TTTCAAAAGAGGTAAGTCAAACAATTCTTTTTATGGCCTCCAGAGAGAAAGACAGAGAAGACCAAAGAGTGTCCTTTCTGCTTCTGCAGTTTTTTTTCCATTTCCTTCAGCTTAAAATACTCAGTATACCAACATGCCAGATTTGGGGGTATCCTTTCCTACCCAGTGAAATGGTCTGTGTAGATGCAATCAAATTCAGGATCTTGAGCTTGGGTGACAATCCAGGATTATCAGGCTGGGCTCAATGTAATCACATGAGACCTTATAAGAGGAAAGCAGGAAGGCAAAAGTCAGAAAAAGGTATGACAATAGAAGCAGAAGTTGAAGCAATGTGCTTTGGCAGATGGAAGGAGTGGCCGTTGAAAGCCATAAAGTCGAAGGAACTGATTCTCTTCCACAGCCTTTAGAGTGAGTGTGTCACTGCCAACACTTTGATTTTGGCCCAGTGAAACCTATTTCAGATTCCTGACTTATTAAACTATAAAATAATAAAATCAGTGTTGTTTTAAACCACTACGTTTGTCGTAATTTGTTAAAATAGCAGTGAGAAGCTAATAGATTCAGCATATCCTGTTACAACCAAATGTTATTAAGTAGTATTGCACTAATGTATTGTAACTAGTATGTTGTCATACTCAGACAAAATGTGTTTGGTAAATGATGTGTTTTGGTAAATGACCTCGATTATTTTGGGACTCATATTTCAAATAGGAACTTCAGGAAGTAATAGAATCCAACTTTCCTGATTGACACTACTTTGCTGCAGACTAGTGTTCGCAACTCTTTCAGATCATGGATGTCTTCTGCATTATATTTCAACCACTGAAGCAGTGATATAGATACCCAAATTAAATGTTTCTCATGATGGCACATTCTTTCAAGGTTGACACCTACTTATGAACATAATTTAAAAACCACAATATGCCAACGTTTATGCAAGAAATAGTCATATCCTATGAAACAATCTTTAGGAAAATTATAATATAAAGCATATGCAGTGATTTTGATATTCAGAACATGTTTAGTAATAGACATATAATTGTAAAACAAATATAGAATCTCCATACTGGTATGAATATAAAATTTTGAATAATTAGGGTAAACTCAAATTTTAAATTAAATTATACCAACTTGTTTAAAATTATAAGCAGATTATGTTTAACATTTTAAAATCTTATTTGTTAGAATTAGCTTGGATTTCAATGCATAGCTGATAAGGATTTTTCTAAATTCAGTTTTGAAGCAATAAACTAATGTAAAATTGCTATAAAATAATAAAGAACAGAGCCAGTTTGGTATGTAGAAGACTTAAGTAATATTAGTAATTGCTGGTTCTAAGCCCATGTAAGTACAATTATCACTACTTTTCTCTAACATTACAGAAGATACAACTGAGGGAGAGGAAAGTTGAGTAATTTACTCAAGCTCTTAGGCAAATATGTGGTGGAGCAAGGGTTACTCCATGGACCCTTGGTACAGAATAGGTCACCAGCATTTAATGACTACCTATACTAGGTGCTGATTAGGTCCTTTAGATACATTTTTTTTTCAATTTTAATAAGGAATATCAAATTAATACTTGAAAATGGTAAAAAAAAAATTTCAGAGTACAGAATGGCATGCAAACAAATTAATAGTTTTCTGACTTATACTTTTGCCTCATCTCCATACTTACTTCTTGGAATTATACACTTTCAACTAGTGGTTTTTTTAGTTTTTATGGTGGTTACATACATAAATATAAACAATATGCTTATACTATTATATTTTATTCAATCAATTTTAGTGAGGCAATTCCTTGCTTTTGCCCCTACCCTGGACTTATAGTTGAATCTGCACTGAATTTCAGCCTCAAGAAAGTTTTCTCTCAGCACTTGAAAGAGCTGACTCTAAAGACTTCTTAGCATCCAGTATAGCTGATGAAAGTTCTCTTGTCAGTCTGCAGTGTAGTCTTTCATCCCTATAAATAAATGCTTTTCTCTTTTCCTTAGCAATTTTCAACATTTCTCTTTAGTCTTAATGGGATAAAAATTTCACAAAGGTATATTTTGGATATGGATCTTACTTTAATTCATTTCCCTCAGAACATGACAGACTTTTTCAACCTAAAATTATATATTTAGTATAGGAAATTTTCTTCTAACATATCTTATATAATTTTCTCCCACCCATTTGCTATCTTTTTAGAGTTGCTATTAATTGAATTTTGGACTTCTTGGAATGATTCTCCATGTTGCTTATCTTTTCTGTCAATGTTTTATTTCATAAAGTTTCTTTATGTTGGGCAAGTTTTCTTAACTTTATCTTCTACTCATACTATTATTTTTTTGTTTTTTTGTTTTAAGTTTGGCTATCTTATTTTCAATTCCTAAGAACTCATACCCCTTTCTCTGACCGTTCTTGTTTTCATGGCTCTCATAAAATAAGCTCTGAAATCTCCATAAGCATAATAATTAATACTTGCATTTTTTCCTATTCTTTGAATTATTTCTATTTATTTTTCTTGCTCCTTTTAAAAAACAATATAAGGTAATGGTGCATAGCTTTTACGAATGTGGATTCTTCTTTCTGGAAGCTCTGATTAAAAAAAAAAAGGCCCATTAGGAGAAGAGCGAGGGATTCTGAGTCTCCTAGGGACAAAAGTGGATGTCTTGCCTTGGTGCAATTGCCCCACCTGGGAAGAAGGACAAGGGTGGGCCCCAAAGCCCCTCTTGATCCTGCCCCACTCTAATCCTCTCCCAAGTGACTGCCATACCTGGGGAGGAGGGACTACCCTACAAATCTGCCAATCATAACTTAGCATCTCAGCTGCAAAAGAATGCAGAGGACTCTCTAGCCCATGGACCAAGCAACATAGGTAAGACAGAGTCTGGAAATTGACCTAGAACAAGCTGCATGCATAGTTAGGACTCAGGTCATGCAACTTCCAACTGTTCCATCAAAGTGGTTTCATGGTGAATTCTGAGCCACAGGGAGGTCCCATCCACGCACTATAAAACAAGACTGAGACCATAACCAGACCCTTTTACACCCTTCCTTCTGCTTTCCCTTTGCAGCAACAATGGGTCCAATCATCATCTGTGGCATATGCATCACATTCTGTAAACCTATATCTTTCTCTTGCTCTATAATCTTATCTTTCTCTCCTCAATAAACTTCATTTTAGTGCTTGCCTACCTTTGGTGCATCTGCTCATTCTTCGGCCATGGGTGCGCCAAAAACCAGTGTTTCAGACTGAAACAGGTCAAGCGAAGTGGTGGCTCATGCCTGTAATCTAAATGCTTTGGGAGGCTGAGGAAGGAGAATTGTTTGAGGCCAGGAATTCGAGAACAGCCTGATCAACATAGACAGACTCATCTCTCAAAAAAAAATTTTTTAATTAGCATGGTGTCATGTGCTTGTTGTCCCACCTGCTCAGGAGGCACAGGCAGGAGAATAGCTTGAGCACAGGAGTTTGAGACTGCAGTGAGCTGTGATTGCACCACTGTACTCTAGCCTGGGCGACAGAGCAAGACCTCATCTCTAAAATAAATAATAAATAAGTAAATAAGTATGTAGATTCTGAAAGCCAGATTTCTTGCTTTCATTTTCAGCTCTATCACTTATTAACTATGTGGCTTTGGAGAAGTAATTAAATTTCTATGTAACTTAATTGTAAAATATTGATAATAACAGTACCTGCATAACAGAGACTCTGATTCTAACAGGATTAAATAAATTAAAAACATAAAGACATTGAGTGTAATCTGTTATGAAGTCCTAACTAACATATCATAGCTGTAATTATTGGTTCTTCCCATTGGTCTGGTGATTCATGATTAACTGTTCTTATTGGAAAGTGAAGGCCTACTTTATTACAGGTGGTCAGTGTGGATATAGGTGGCTGTACTGTAAATAAGTAATTTCCACAGTGACTTCTTCCTCAGAAAGGAAGCTGCCCAGCATGCACTTGAGGGCATATCCATTCAACAGGCAGACTTCACTTTATCATGGTGCTCCTGCAGAAAGTGCTGGTAGTATTAGCTCTAAAAAGGAAGCTTGCTCACTTTTGTAAGATAAAGCTCTATGGTGGTTAGCCTAGAGGTAAATGCTGGGCTGCAATTCCAGTTTTTCTGCCTGCAGGCGGGGTGGGGTAATCAGGGGTTGGTGGAGTGGAGCAGGCTTTAGGCAGAAGTTGTTTTTAATCTTTGTTTTCGCACCATTTCTCACTCCTGCTCTCCTTGTCAACTCTGAGACCAGAGTGCTATTGGCCAGAGGTTGGCTCCCACTAAGCTTCCTTGTGGGCGTTCTCTGGAATGTGGATTCCTTCTCTTTGTTTCTCTGGTCAGCAGCTTTTAGCTGCTCCTATCTACCCGGAATTTGTTGAAATCTCTTATCTGCTACTTAGTACACCTACTCCCTACCTTCCCTTTGTTGTTATAAGTCTATTTCCCTTTCCACTTCCTTTGAGTCATTTTAGTGAGGTCTGGGGGGTAAGGGTTGTGACTCATGACAGATGAATTTTGTGCTTAGAATAAAATGTCAACCCCCAAATCCCTCTACTCCTGTCTCATTACATTTTCATTAACTTTTATAATTATCCAGTGAAGTCGATATTATTATTATTATTCCAAATTTTACGTATGAACATAAAAAGTTTCAGCAGCACCTCAGAATCACAAGACAAGTGACAGACAGCATCAGAATTCAAGTCCAGGTCTTTCCAGTAAAAAAGAGTCACAAACTTTTCCCTCTATGATCCAAGAATGGGGATTTAAAAGGAGGTTAAACATGATCAGTACTTAATATGAAGCACTTAGAAGAAAATAAAAATGCTAATCATATAGATCTTGACACTATGTGGACAAATAACTAGGATTATTAGCTGAATTTTTTAAAACTTTAAGGTATGGATTTTTATGCAATGCTAGGAATGGTGTTTGGATTCTGTAATCGTGGAACTCATGTCTGGGAGGATTCTGATTCTTAAGACTTGAAGGCCTGTGTCACGTATTCTTTACCTGTTCAGGTGTTAGTATATCAGCCACAAGAAGACATGCACTTCTCATTCCTCTCCAAGCCCTTAGGTGGCAAAGACCCTCAGCAATGTTCCCTGGAAGCAAATGCAGGAAAGATGTAGAACCAGTTAGTTAATCCAAAACCACTGCTCTAGCAGAGACCTGAATTACTATCTCTATAAGACCCATCTTTTGTCTTTCTCAGATATGATGAGAAAAATGTTAAAGGGCTGTCAGGATCTTTATGGATGTATAGTGAAAATATTACTAAACATAATGAGCCAGTAACTCCTTGGATTTAGATATGAGAAAATGCACATGCTTTTATCATTACACTAAAAATTATATGTTGTATTGCCTCACAACAATCTCTTAGTAAATGTGAGATGAAAGGAAAAGGAGGTTATCTTTGTATTTAGCCCTAAAGTGGAATATTCAGTTGTTCACCTGAGTCTAGCTACCCTCAATCCTATGGTTGAGGGAAATCATCAGACCAGGCTACTGATTCCTTGTTTACTTTTTGGATGAAATCTGTAAATTTAGCATTTACAAAGAAAACTATTCTGGAAGATAAAGCATGCATGTTTCTTCTGAAGATTTGTGGCTACAACTGGATTTCTTCCTGACTGCAAGACTATTGAGATCCAACTTTGTGCTTAGTTCTTTCTCTTGGTACAGTTTTGACAATGTGACTGTACAGTTTGAAAATCTTTAGCAGTTTGCAAATAAATCAAACTTGGAAAGCAGAAACATACATATGCAGGGAAATAAATGATAGAAGAAAAAGAGAATTTCCTAACCAAATCTGAAAATGCCATGTTTGATCCAGATTTCTAATAAGACAACATATTAATACAATTTTAAGGGTCAGTAGTGTCCTGATCAATGTCATTAGAATTTTTCCTTGTATACAAAAGTTCTTATGTTATCGTTCAAAAACAGCACCCAGTTGGAATGCTCAACTAAATAAAATTTTAGTTAATTAATGCATGACTTTTTCTTAGCTGACAATATTTTATTAGTCCTCTAATCAGTTAACATTACTACAGATTTTTTTTAAAGATAGAGATTTGTATATGCATGAAAAAGAAATGAGGTCTAGTTTTTGTAAAGTCAATGGCTACAGTTGAATGGTGAAAGAATACCCATGGATTTTAACAACTAGTGCTGTAGCCAAAACATGTCTGCTTGCATTCTTTATTTCTCATAAGTGGAATTTCTTGTGAAAGGCTTTGTTTGTATTGCTACAGTCAGAGAAAAATGCGCTCAACAGCAAGTTGGACATGGAAAGTTTTCCAAAAGAACAAAAAGCACATGCTCTGACCGTCCCCACCTGTCTCAGTCTCAGCTCAGATTCGAACCCAAAGTTTAAAACACTTAAGAAGCATCTAAAACTTAACATTATTGTTTATGATACAGCAACTTCTCATTCTAAGAAGTCAGGAGTTGCTAGAAAGCACTTTGCTGACAGACTATAGGGGAACCTGGATTTCTTCACTTGAAACACGTATCATAATGGAGTCAGCATATCCTATCTTCTGTGACGCAGCATAATTTTACACCTATTTTGGAATGACTATTTATTATAGGATCAATTGGAGTTCACTCAATATATTCAAATACTTTGCATCTGTTCTTACAGTAATATAATCATGTTCAAAATAAACTCCCACTGTCATCTGTCTGCATTCGAGTTGGGGGGAAAAATCTTTATATTTGGTTGATTTACTTCTTAGGCCACTCTATGCACGAGAACAGGATGGCCCCCACCTTCCCTCCAAATTTAGAGCTCGAATGTGTTTCAGATTAACCTCTCAAATATATACAATTCAGTTAACTTGTTTAAAACATATTGATTCCCACTAGGCAGTTCCACCTGGGAGGAACTGATTTCTATCTAAGTATATAAACTTTTGCTTTTCCTCTGGCCAAATACACACACACATACGCACACACACATGCACACACACACACACACACACTCACACATATACACACACAGTGAATGTTTTCACATTGAAACTGAAGATGTAAATGAAGGCCTGCAGTCTCTGTCTGGTTCTAGTTACAAGGTCTGTTTGTTGACATCACAGATGAAGGCCTGCTGTGTCTCTGGCTCTGTCTACTCCATTTCCCCTCTAATTAGGCTTTGCCCTCAATTAAGTTAATGATGCAACTTTTCCTATAGATCATTTGCCCTTTCAATCAATTAACAGAATATGAAGGGTGCATCCCTCCTTGGCTTGGGATTCATTTGCCTGGGGGCAGACTGTTCAGCTCCCAGAAGTACCACATAAGCAAAAGCAAGATGTTTACGATATCACATATTATCCCTAAGAAAATCAGGCCTCATGGAAGCCTTAGCTAAACTGCATTTCGTTATTGACTTGTGTCAGGGTAAAGAATTTATCTGAAATTCTAGAGCATGTCAAAAATATTAATGGGTGTGTTATAAATATAAGGCAGTTCAAAATAAATTTAGGGTCTATATTTTACAAGAGAAAATAAAAATGTGTGCAATGTCAAGTGTAATTATGAAATATACACACACGTACAGCTACACTCACATACACCCCCCTACTCAAATGAGCTGAACAAATAGAAGTTTCTATCATTAATGGGGGAAATCAAAATGATTCCTCTCAGAAGAGATTACTTTTTTTTTCTCAGCCTGTACGTAAAGATTCAGAATGGATTTAAAAATAAATTGGTTTTAAATAATAAAAATAACCATAATGAGATTATTGTAGAACCCATATGTCATCTGTACCAATATTTGAATGCTACAAAGATCAAGATTTTAAGATAAATTTGACTGACACTTTCTTGAAATGTGTGAAGGTTACATTAAGAAAGGACAAATATGGAAGTTTAGCATTTTACTGAAAGGCAGGATTGAAATAGAAATAGAACTGCCATGGAGTTCTCTATAGAAGAAAAATACTAATTCTATCTGAATCATGAATCTTCCCTAAAATATCTTTGTATAATAGAATGTGGCCATTTTATTATTTAAACAGAGACATGTTTCGTATCTTTTTTTCTCCTATAATAGGTGATATCTGTTTTTAATAAAATAGAACTTGGCTTTTTTCCCCAGCTTTATTAAAGTATAATTGACAAAAATAATATATATTCAAGGTGTACAACATGTTTTGATATATGTATATGTTGCAAAATGATTCCCACAATCGAGCCAATTAACATATCCCATACCTCATATCGTTACATTTTTTGTATGTGTACTGAAATTGCTTAAGATCTACTCTCAGAGAATTTTAAATATTATATACATTATTATTAAATATAGTACCATGCTGTACATTGTCTCCAATACTTATTTATCTTATAACTGTAATTTTGTACTCTTTGACCAACATCTCTCCATTTGACCACCCTTCTACCATTGGTAACCACCCTTGTATTGTCTGTTTTTATGAGTTTGACTTTTAGATTCAGATAAAAGAAATACTTCCACTAAAAAGTATTACAAATATTAAATTACTAACAAACTCTAAAGTAATAGGATTTGTAGATTTTTGCCCATGAAAGAGAGGATTGAAAAAAAGCTACTACAAATAATGTAAACATATGTGTGTGTGTGTGTGTGTGTGTGTGTGTGTGTGTGTGTGTTTGTGTGTGAAGGGATGTTATTTAAACAAATTCCTCAATCCTCTGAGTACAGCACGGAAGACATTTATAGCAGGAGATTTAAATGAGACACCAGGAAATCATTGCACCTGGAAGGATTATAAGTAATGAGCTACATGCATAACACATAGAGGAGTCTTCTCCAAATATGCTGAATATATAACTATATAGATCATTGTTTTAAGGGGATAATATGAAAGATTTCTCTCTCCTTCACAAGTAGCGATTGAGTGACCTCCTAGGTTGCATTCCTCAATTCCTAAGGACTTTTCATCTCCAGTCTGTGCATGTGTACTCAGATGAGTATTATCTGCTTTACACTGTAACCTCCAGCAAGGCAGAGTCCATATCAAACCCTGTGTACACCAGAACATCATCACACCTGGAGAGTGGAGGCAGGACACATGGATAGCTTTAAATTTTATGCCATATTTGGATGTTAGCCTAGAGAAAGCAGAAAGTCATGCAAGGTTTTAAAGCACTCTGCACAGAGCGAGCTCAGGTAACGTATACAACATTCCAGGTGTATTCAGCTTTGGGTCCTCAGTGAAGCCTCAGGTATGAGAGAAGGCACAAATGGACTAACTTGGCTGTCACATTCCTATTGATTTAAGCCCAGCATGTCCAAACCTTAACTCATGATTTCCCCTCAGAGACAATGTTCATCTTCTTTCTAATTTACTGCATTGCTAGCAATGTTCTTGCCACAGAGGAATGAAACAATCACTAAGAGAGGATCTTTGGAATAAAAACAATAGAGCCCACCTAGCAAAAGTCTTCTTGAACCTAGAGAATGGGAAATGATTTAATCCAAGCCACTTGGCTAGTCAGAAATAGAGATGGGATTCTAGTCCAGTTAGAAATTGTTATACTATTCTATGGGCTATTATACTCCATAGCTCATGTTCTAGCCACACTCTCAGTTAAATGATATTTAATAGAAATGACAGAAATAAGTTGTTACCCTGGGATACAGCATCAGGGTAAGAGCCCAGGGGATAGCACAAATCAGGATACTGAATAACACCCCAGGGAGAGATGGATGCTGTCTGTATTCTATGTTTCATTCAAAACAGTGGACTCAAGGAAGGAAGAAGAAACCAGTCAGGTTCTCAGAAACCATTCTGCAGAAGGCATGCAAGTTTACACAGAATGGAACAAAGGCATTTTAAGCAGCTGCAGCCTTGGGAGTATGAAGATTGCAGCCCCTGGTACCAAAGGCATAACCCAAGCACTAGTACAATTGGGCTGATATTCTATGGGCATTTTGTACATTTTATTTGTTGTTGGGCCAATGAATGGATAATTAATTTTATTACTTTCATTTTTTTCTTTAATAGTTGGGAGAGTATTAACTGAAACAACATCAGCTGATTCACAATTTAGATATATATATGCATCCTGAATTTGTTAATGATATTTAAGAATAAACTGTATCTG